CACATGTAAGTCATAAGTAACACATATTATTTTAAAATATATAGTAATATATTTTTCTTGTAAAAAAATAAACTAAATTTAATATAGTACTTTCATTAATTTTAAAATTTAAGAATATTTTTTTAACAAGCACTCTGTAATCCTCGCGTGTTGTACTAGTAGTTATAAAATATTTGCCAAGAAGATAATAAGGGGAGTTATTTAACAGTTTTGTTCTGCCAACGTGGCATATTCCAGCCCAATAGCCGAAAATCACTTGGGTCCTACCTACAGATTTTCGCGTGAGAAAAGAAAAATTACAGACAATTAGCTCACGAACAAGATTGTACTTGGTGCAGAACGTGAAAATGGCTAGCGCGGCCACATCGTCTTCTGCTACTGCAAATGCTTTCGCCAAATTTCCTCCGCCGTTTTCCTCGGCGGCGCAATTACCGCCGACATTTTCACTTCCCCGTCGCCGATCAACCTCCGCCGCCCGTCGTATCTGTGCTTCCGCATCGGCGGTGACTCCGGTACGTACCAAGCCGGATGATTTGGTGGAAGACATTATCTCCAAGGTAGCTTATTGTTCGACTAGAAATTGGGGCTAATTTGCTTCGCATATTGAATCTTATTTCTATTTCTAAAGATGTGTTCGTGAAGAATTTCTCCGGATTTACTGTTCATAGTTTTTAATGTGTACTATGCTTCTCTCTCTCTTAGCGGACATGAAAACAGAGTGAAATTTTCAAATCTTTGTCTAACTTTGATGGCCTTCGTCATAGTCAGATGGCCCAATTGAAGTCCAATGTGTTGCTGTATGTTGGGAGTCCATTATTACTTTCTTTCTGCTCAGAAGGTCTTCGGGTGTTGTTATTTTATGTTCCGGTCCATGATTTTACGATATAATGTAGGACACCGTAGTTGTGATTGCGGCAGACACCGTATCTCTTTGAAATGCAGTGGTTTTTAGGTAGCTTGGATTTGGTTTCATATATATTGGCCTATGTACTTAGTCTTTTGCTGGTTTTGCCAATCATTCCTGGAATTCATAACTTTGCTGCACTCTTAATCTTCTTTGAAACTACTTTTAAAAAAAACGTGCATCGGGTTATTATATTGTGAGAAACAATAAGCTTGTGCAGCTGTTTGTCAATTTCCTTTGTTACTTTTTACCTCCTTAGTTCCAAATTGGCCATCAAAAGCTGAGGTTTTATGATTTAGTAGGTTGTGCAAACAGACAGGGGGGTTCTACTAAGAAGTGAAGAACACCGAAAGGTTGCTGAATTAGCAGAAGAGTTGCAAAGATTTTGCGTTGATGAGCCGGTGAAGTGTCCTCTTATATTTGGAGGTTAGGTTCCTATTGCATACTTTTACTATTCTATTTGTACAAGGTATGGTAAAGGGGCCCCATTCAGAGTACTTAAATAAAGTCTAATCGTGTTCCGAAAGACCATGTTGACCTAAAGTGGCAAGTCTTTCTAAAACTTGATTGCAGAGTGGGATGTGTTGTATTGCTCGAATCCCACATCGCCAGGTGGTGGCTACCGAAGTGCAGTTGGTCGACTTGTGTTTAAAACAAAGGAAATGATGCAGGCTGTTGAAGCCCCAGATATAGTGAGAAATCGGGTGTCGTTCTCTCTTCTTGGTTTCTTAGATGGAGAGGTTTCTTTGAAAGGTAATTCCTTTCCTTTTTCTTTTTTTTTTCTTTATTTTTTTGGGACCTGTTTCACGTAATGAAGGATCAAAATTTGTGACTAAATTAAAGACTTTTGCCTTATGATTTTCAATGTGAATAACATTGAATTTTTTTGTATTTTTACTTTCATTATAATCTTCAGAGTTTTGCTATCAACCTAAATATACTTGGAATTACATCATCATTTATTTTTCACGAAAAAAAAGGAGAAAACATTTCCGAAACACATGGGAATTTCGCACGAGTTTATCATAAAAAGCAACAAACAACACTTATACGTAGTTACTTGATATGGTCAGGTAAACTGATACCTCTGGATGAAAAATGGATACAAGTGGTGTTTGAGCCACCTGAACTAAAGGTTGGCGGATTGCAGTTCAAATATGGTGGGGAGAGTGAAGTAAAACTCCAAATCACATACATTGACGAGAAGATCAGACTCGGAAAGGGCTCCAGGGGTTCTCTGTTTGTCTTCCAAAGATTCAAAGCATAGCCATAAAGTTGGATTATCTATTGAAAAAAAAAAGTTGGATTATCATATGTAAGAAAACGTCATCTATATGTGTGTAGGAACACAGCCCTTTTCTTAGACATTCAGATTATGAATACGGCAACTACATTTCCATGTATTTTGATCGATCGTGTAAAAGATGTACCAGAGCTTACAATGTGTACAAATGAGCATAAATATAATGTGTTTTTGTGTGCCTGCCTTCTTCTGATCCAACATTCTTTCCGAACGTGTGAGTAGTAATTTTTTTTTTTTTCATTTGTGGCTCGTTCAGTTATAATTTACTTGTGCGGCAGAAAATCTTTTTACCTCAAGGCGTAATTATTTTATTATTATTATTATTATTATTATTTTTTTTTTTTTTTTTTTTTTTTTTTTTTTTTTTTTTTTTTTTTTTTGAATTTTTCTCATCAAACCAGTTGATTGCAGACAAACCAGAAGTCTACAATCCACATCAGATCGATCAAGCAAGAACATACAAGACGGTAAATATAAAACAACAAACGATAAAGTTAATTTTATCCACGAAAAAAGTTCAGAGATGCAGCCTCTCTGCTTAAAAATGTACAAGCAACAAAGAAGAAACCAAGACAACAACAAAGGGCGAGAGAGAGAGAGAGATGAATAATTCAAAGTAATGAATCAGCCAGGCCCTACATTGGGAATGTCATAGTGCTCGGTAAGATTAGCCAAATACTGATTGAACTCATGAATCCTATCACGGTGAGACTTCTTAGCAGCTTTGGCAAGCCTTCGCAGCTCCATTTTCTGCCAACGTTCCATATAATGCCTCTCGGCTGGAGTCAGACGGTCATCTTCATTGTGCACTCCTTCATACTGTGCAATTGCCCCATTGTCCAAATTACAAGGATCTGCAGCTAAAGCACTGTTAGAATCTGTAAATAGAGAAGTACTTCACACAAAACCATAGTTCAAATTTTAGCCTTCGAAGTAAGTGCTAGGATTACTGGATTACCAAATACTTCAAAAGCACTACAAACCTTGTTCACAGCCATTTGTTGAAGAAAAAAGTTCTTAACCCTTTAAAAATTGAAAAAAAAAAAAAAAAAAAAAAA